AGAGGAGGAGGAGGAGGAGGAGGAGGAGGAGGAGGGCAGGTGAAGGGGAAGGGGAAGGAGAAGGAAGAAATTGAATGCAGATAATTGCCAAAAATCTGCATATCAATTTTTACAACTTGGTTAGACAAATACTTAGCTTGTCTGCTTGTGCACATACTATTGCTTCCTGAACTATAAGCAGACAAGCTGCATAGTAATCCAGGTCCTCCTGAACATCTCTGAATGCACACTGCAGGTTCATTCTCTACAAAAGTGAACTTTCCATGTCTCCTCCAAAATCTATCTCCTCACCCATGTTAATGCTCATTGTCACCCCAAGCCCAAAACTGTGTAGTCCTGTCACCGAGGGACTTGCTATTCGTTCACATACATCAGGATTTTTATTACCCTTTCCTTTGTTCTGCTCAGATAGTGTATTTTTTATATCAGCATCAAATTTGTTACCCTAATTTGTTAGTTGAGAAGTTTCTTGCTATTAGAGTTTTTGTTCTGACCATTATCTTGATTCTACCCCCACTATAACCTCTCCAACAGGTGGGAGGGGTAAGGGATCTTCCTTGCATTTTTATCCTCCACCTCTCTCTTGGTTCTTTTTCTTCATCCTAAAAACATATCCAAATCTCCTGATAGATAGATAGATAGATAGATAGATAGATAGATAGATAGATAGATAGATATAGATATTTCTTCAAACCCAATTTCCCCCCTCAGGCTTTAGCTTTATCTTTCCTTTGTTCACAGCCAGGCTTCTTGAGGTAATCTATACCAGATAACTCTATTTCTTCATTTTCTATTCACTTAACTCATTACAACTTGGCTTCTTTCTACCATGTGACTATAATTGAATTTAACCATTAGAGTCAGATAATAGTTTTTGTTAATGTTAACAGGTACCATGCTATGCTGTCTCTTTTTTTCACGGTCACCTTTGTGGGTCAATATTAGTCACATTCTACAGTGGGGAGCCAAGACACTTGCTGAAAGTCATATAAAGGAAAATGGTATTCAATACCAGGTGTTTTGGTTATAAATTCAGATATTTTTGTGGTGGTTTTCTTGTCGTAATACAATAGTTACCTCTTTCTTAATTACAATCCTATTGAACCTGTTTACAGTTATTGTCCATTGAAATTTTCTCAGACCTTGCTTCTAAGATTTTCTTTCAATTGACTTTCTAATCTTTGATGGCTTATCTCTCTATTCTGTTTACTGTTTCTCTTCCTTCACCAATTGAAATATTTATATATTCTGTAAACTCTTATCTTTATCACTCTTATTTCTTTATTTTTTAACTGATTGATCTTATTCATTTTCATTATTATTTATATACTGATGACTTCCAAATTTAAATGTTTCCTGGGCCTCTCTCCTGAGCTGGTAAGATTATTTTTTTCCAGCTACCTACTGGATGTTTTTACCTAGACATCCTACAGCTTCCTCAAATTCTGAGAACTGGTCTCAGCATCCCTCCTCCCCGGACCTAACCGTTTCTACCCACTCAGTTACCCAAATCTTGGTGTCATATTCACCTCTTTCTTTTCTTTTAATCTTTCTTTTTTTCTTGATCCTTAAGTCTAACTGGTCAACAGTTCCCATCAGTTCTGCTGAAGTATATTATTTTAAGTCTGTCCCCTTCATTCAATTCCCACTGCTACTGCTCAAATATAGGTTCTTGAGTTCTCTCACTTGCAACTTTGAAATTGTCTCCTTTCTCATGTTCTCAAGTCTAATCTGCCATATGCCACCATACCACCCCAAACACACACACAGCCATCAGTTATTCCCTCGAACAGTTCCTGCCTAAAAACCTTTAGTGCTTTCCCTATTGCCATCCGAGTACAGTCCACATACCTTAGTGTGCTGATTTTAGGACTGCCACATCTAGTCCCATCAAACCTTTTGCCCTTCCTGCCAGTCCACATTCCTCTTCCATGCATAGAGCTAATGATTCCATTTGCTTTGCTGGATTCTTTATTGATTTTTAAAAATATCCAATTGCTTGCTTGAGTTTTTTGTCTGCTTAGAGTACACCTCCCTCCCCATCAAATTTCCATTACACATGCTCCACAACATTGGTTTCTTTTTTTAAGGTATGGGTTAAATAATAGCACTTATGTGAAGCCTTACACAGTCTTCTTCACTGGTCCTAGAGTAACTAATCACTCTCTCCTTTATTTTCCAATAGCCTTTGCTTAATCTTTTGTTGTATCTCTGATCACACTGAAAAAGACATATTTGCAACTAAATATGCCTTCCTTTAGATAGGAATTTCTTGAAGGTTGGGACTATGTTTTATCTTTAAAATCCCTTCTAGCTTTAAAATCTGATTCTTAACGGGCTGAACTCTAATATCCCATCTAGCTAAGTTTTATGAGTCTTTGATTCTAAGTTTCCCTAACTTTTAACCTGGTGTTTTGATATAATAAGTAGTTGGTGAAAGGAATATCTGCTTCAGTTTTAAGCTTGCCTTAGTGCCAAGTATATCTGAGTCCTAAATTTTTATCTCAAGCAATTTGGTTATTATCTCCTCTAGGAAGTTTGCCCTGATCCCTCCAGTGCATTAAATGCTGCCCTCTGAACTTATCTGTCATAATACTTATCACTAGGTATTATAATTATCTTTATATTTTATATGGTGTTCCTTGAGAGACCATAATCTATATCTTTCACATGGGTCCAATCAGTGTAGCACTTAGTAGGGGTTTATAAATATTTGTTAAATGATAAAAGGAATAAATTAATGTAATAAGTAGTTAAAATAGAATCACAAAATTTTTAGATGTTTTTAAAATTCTGAATAAATAGGTTATTTGTATTTAAAGAATTTTAGGACAGCCATCACTGAACCAAGAGATTATTATTAGCATCAGCAAACATTAATGATAAAAAGGTTGTTTATCTCATTTTTTAGAAAAAGCTTTTCCTAACCTGTTAGATGGCTGATAAGAAAATGTAAGGAGATTGGGAGTTCCTTATACATAATTAAGTAGCTCATTCTTGCAGATACTTCAATAATTCATATTTGAAATATACTTTTTCAACAAAATCGACTTTTTAGATACCTCCCTTGAAGATGTTATCATCATAGGATTTCGCTTTCTTGGGCTCTTCAGAGATTTGGGAACGCTATACTTTGTGAAGACAAGATGAATAATGGGTTACATAGGCACAAAATTAAAATCACCATCCTAATATGAGGTTAAGTACTGTTGTTATGGAAAGGGACTGCTATTTGATTGAAAACTGAAATCAGAGAAAGAGGATCGATATGGGGACTAAAGTAAAGGGGGTGAGAAATAAAGATGATACATAGAATAATCCCTTTCTTTTCGTCTGTGTTCTCCAACCCTCCTATTTAACCTGATGCCTCTTAAAGTAAGGGGTGAGTACGAGGCAAGACTTAATCGAAGGCTAAGATGATAGCTTAGCTAATAGAGGATGTGAGGAAGTTTGTCATACTGGCCTTTTGTTTATTTCCTCTTGCCTGTGAGCCTGGATGAGCATCCTAAAGGAACACGTAATGTATCTTTAAGGTTTTGAGCCTTTACCTGTTTAAGACTGAGCCTTGAAGTTCAAGTGAACTTCATACTCCAGATATTTGCCTGCCTGAAATACGGAGGGAATTCAAGTACAGTTGTGGTCTTAGTAAAAGTATTGTTTTATGGAGGAGGCTCCCTCACTGCCTTGAAATGAAAAGGGTTTTTTAAATATTTAAGCTGTTGAACTGTTAAAATCAGGAAGAGGTCTTGGCTCTACAAAGCAAAACACTAAAGTAGGATTAGGATCACAAATATAACCAAGGCTTCTGTGAGAAAGAATGGTATAGTCAGGATAGCAGATAGACTGCTTAGGGCCAGGACCATTCATTTTTATTCATCCAATAAGTACATGTTCATTACCTTCTCTACTCAAACCATTGAGAAGACTGTCTTTAAAATAAGAGGGAAAATCTTAACAATTCTGGGCATTAATGCTTGGTTATGCCCAAGGAAGAAATGCTAAACCTACTGAGTCAAAGGGAGTAAATATTTTGGCTTCCTCATTTGGAGCTGTTAGACTCACTAGGCCAGTGGTTTTTAAAATTGTTCCATAGTGTCCTGAGAGCCATCGGAGGTACCCCAGCTGTCAAAGGGATATGAGGAAGAAAAGGCCAAATGCAGGAGCATTAGGCTCCCAATTGCCCTCTCCCTGCATCCGTCAGAGTGGCCTTACTTTTCATATATTGTATGCATTGTAATTTTGCAGAATGTTTTGCTTGGGGCTGGGTAACCCTGTGAAAAGAAATTTGAAAATCATTGATGAGAGATCTTTAAAATCCCTTCTAGCTTTAAAATCTGATTCTTAACGGGCTGAACTCTAATATCCCATCTAGCTAAGTTTTATGAGTCTTTGATTCTAAGTTTCTCTTAATGCTTTTCTGGCAAATATTTATCTCTAAGTTAGGCTCCTCTGCATTGACTGAAGGATCAAATAGTTTCCCCATTTTTATAACTTAAGTACACAGCACACCATATTTTAAAAGATAGAAATTTCACAGTGTATTTTATGTTATCTTCCAATAATACTGTGAGGATAGTGTGCCATATTTTACTAATGAAAATTTTGAGAACCATTGCAGTAAGGAAGTGCCAAGTTTGAAAATGCTACCCTTGCTTTTCAAACATACCCCTGACAAACATAGATTAGTGCGAACTTTATAAAATCTCATATAGCTTACTTTCTCTCTGACCTCTCCAATTGTACCTGTCCCCTCATTTTTTGAGCAATTATTTATTGAGCACTTAATTGTGTTACTATAGGCTAGGGATGAAATAGACAAAAGTTCCTGTCTTCATTAAGTTTGTAAGCACTTTTTATTTTTCCTCCATCTGCAATCTTTATTCTAGGGGTATCACAGCAAGTTTAGAAATATATGTAAGCCTTAAACTGAAAAATATTAAGCTTTGCTCTAACAAATGGCTCCTTATTTAGTAAAACTTTTATAATGTTAAATGTGATTGCATAACTTATATTTTGAAATTTGATTTCCTTAAATAGCAAAGCACCGATGTTCATATGGTTAGTGATAGTGATGGAGATGACTTTGAAGATGCTCCTGAATTTGGGGTGGATGATGGAGAGGTATTCGGCATGGCGTCAACTGCCCTGAGAAAATCTCCAATGAGTGAGTATTAATAGCTCTTTGGGTCCGGCATTATAATTCTCCCTTTTATTGCAAAAACTTATTAAGGGTAGTGAACTTAAAAGTTTCTTACTGACTTTCAGGTTTGGAAAGAGAAAATATAACAAATAGGCATTATTCATTAGAACTAGAGCCTCTTGAGTTTTAATTTTATAAAGCCTACTGATTTTCAATGCTTTAGTAAAATTCATTAAAATGCAAGGAAATGTAACTGGTTTCACATGTGTAATTAGCTATGAATCTGTCCCTTTACTTTAAACCTAGAGTTTGAAAAATAAATAGCTGGACTTTCTGCGACTGCAGTTGTTTCCCCACATGTTATTAGAGATATCAAAATTTTTACTATTTAAATATTTTAATGAATTAAGCATTAAGTTGTATTTTTTTAAATCTTGTAATTAAATTGACCAAATCTCCAAAAACAAAAACAATAGTAGTGTTACTTTTCCATTCACTGGTACTCATCTTTGGAAGAAAAAATAAATAAATAAATAAATAAATAAATAAATGTGCTATCTCCCTCACTTACACCTTACAAGATACATACTGTAGAATCATAAGTGGTTGCTATATGCAAAATGATCCTTAAAATGAGTCCTTAAATGGCTCATTTACTCTGAAATTAGGGAATTCCTGGGGTCAGAAATAGGTATATTTGCATTAAATTGACGATTTTCTTGATTAATAGGTCTTTAAAGTAAATTGAGATTCTTTTTATATAATTTAATCACAAGATGTCATTTCAAGAAAACATTGAAATTCTGAGTGATGCCTGGCACATATTTTAATTGCCTATTAGCAAGATTGTGTCAGTTGTTTTTCCAAAATTTATGAGCTTGGGATTTTTTTAAGTTTCTTTCTCAAGATTTGATGAAGTCTCCTAATGTATATCAAGTTAAAATGTCTCCTCAGATATATCACAGAAACTAAAACTTAATCTTATTTTCTCTTTATTGATTAAATATATTTCTTATATGTGGGATTAGATGTTATGTGGTTTGTTTTTTGTGTCTATTTGTTTTGTTTTTTTTTGTTTTTGTTTTTTCTTTTGTTTGTTTTTTAGTGCCAGAAAACGCAGAAAATGAAGGAGATGCCTTATTACAATTTACAGCAGAGTTTTCTTCAAGGTAGGGTTAGGATATTAACTATATAAAATTGATGTTCTTTTAATGACATTGTATTTTTCTGGAGCAGTTTTAATCATAAATTGGTTATTTTTTATTTCTCCTTAAAGTATTCAGTGGTTCTGTTTGTCAACTTATATAGTCCTGATAGTGAAACATGTAGTATTCACTATCGAATAACTAGTTAACCATTTATGCCACTTCATAGATGTAGTCATTTTATCTCTGTAGCTCTATTTTCTTCTTCTTTTTAAATTTCAGAGAGGAAGGGAGAGGGAGAGAGAGATAGGAACATCAATGATCAGAAAGAAACATTGATCAGCTGCAGCCTGCACGCTCCCTACTGGGGATCTATCCAGCAACCCGAGCATGTGCCCTGACTGGAAATGAACCGTTACTTTCTGGTTCATGGGTCATTGCTCAACCACTGAGCCACACTGGCCAGGCTTTGTATCTTTCTTTATTGAAGCACAATTAATGGATCACTAATTTAACATTTTGACTATATTCCCAAAGAACTAGGTTATAAAATACTACTTTTTAGTGTATCCTAGGGCAAACAAAATATGCTTCAAAATAACATTACATAAAAAGTTAATTTTATTTTTTATTTATTTTTTTAAATATATTTTTATTGATTTCAGAGAGGAAGGGAGAGGGAGATAGAAACATCAGTGATGAGAGAGAATCATTGATCAGCTGCCTCCTGCACGCCCCCCACTGGGAATTGAGCCCACAATCCGGGCATGTGCCCTTGACCGGAATTGAACCCCGGACCCTTCAGTCCACAGGCTGACGCTCTATCCATTGAGCCAAACTGGCTAGGGCTAAAAAGATAATTTTAAATGAAAGTGAATTTTTAAATGTTTGTTTGGAGTCATTTAGCATTTCTTTTTTTAAGAGTCTAATATAGCATGTTTTATGTGCATTTGAGATTCTCCAAAAGTGTTTAAGTAGAGAGGATTTAAATATTCAACTATAAATTTTCATGTAAATGATATTTCTCTTTAGTTCTATTTTCTGATGTAACAGTATAATTGGAAAACTTTGCAGGATACCATTTTTCCCCTTTCTGTTTGACTTCCAGAATAAATGAACTAAAATGCAAAGTTAAGGCCACAGTAGCTAGTGAAATCTTATGACAGTGGATAACCCGAAACTGCTATTTATAAATGGCATGGTTTTGTGGCACTTATTAAATACATTTGCTAGATGTACTTAAAATTCTATTGTTCTAATATATCAGTATAGGCCAAGAAGAACTCTAAGAACTAATGAAGCTCATTCCCAAGCCTTTAAAGAAATGTTTTAGAGTCTGCTTTGAGAGGTGCCGGGGGGAGGGGGGAGGATAATTAGGGGAGAAAAAATAAAAAAAAATGTTTTAATGTTTGATCTGTACATAAGAGATATTAGCCTTGAATTAACTTAAGTCATTGTTTAGACTTGTGTAACTTTGAAGTTCATTTGAAATGTATTTTAATTAATAGGCGCACTTTTTCCTATAGATATGGAGACTGCCATCCTGTATTTTTTATTGGATCATTAGAAGCTGCTTTTCAAGAGGCCTTCTATGTGAAAGCCCGAGATGTAAGTGCAGTCTTACCTTTTCTGGTTAAAAAGTATATCCCATAGGTTTACCACCAAGCCTGGGGCAATGCTTAATGTTTTCTGCTTTTTTCAGGTTGAAGACTTGATTTTGATTCTGGTTCATCTACCAACATAAGCATCACCAAAATGCCCATTTCAGAGGGGTAGTAGTGTGATAGGGTACTGCTGGCTCTTGCAGAAGGCCTTGATACAGGGTTGTTTTTTTGTAGGAAAATAAAAAAGAGTGGACATGCTTAGAAGGGACCAGGCTACTTGTTTGTATTCTTTTCAGTTATGTGATTGACAGGTTCTTGCTAAAGGATTTTTCCTTCAGTCTTTTCCCAAAATGATTATTCTATCTAGTGATATATATCTAATAGCTGCAATATATTTTTCCCAAAAGTCACTTTAGACAACAGAAAGATTCTTCCTTAACCTCAGAAATGGGCTTTGTGATCTTGAAATCAAGTAGATTGACATTTATAACAAGAATCAAGGGGTACATTTGAAGCAAGAAGGTTCTATACCATCACTCTGTTGACACAGCAGTCAAGACATGGCAGAAATCAGTAATCTGGTTTCTGCCTATTTGTACAGCTTCAGCTTTTCCCATTCCCTGCCTTACACTTAGTAAATCTAGCAACAGTGTACCATTTGTATTTTACCATAATTTTAATCTTTTTTTCATGTTTCCCTACTGTCAGGAATGGCTTTCTCCTGCTTTTTACCTGGTTGACTCTACACTTTCTCTGAGACTTAACCTTTCCTGACTTTTCCACTACTCCCTCTAACATTTACCACAGCCACTCCTTTAATACTTTGCAATAATACTCTCTGCTCTTATTGTTACACTTAACATATTGCTTATAATTATTCTTTCTCTCTCTCCATATATGTGTGTGTGTGTGTGTGTGTATGTGTGTGTGTGTATATATTTATATATCTTCTTGAGGTTTTTTTTTCTTTTTAGCTGTGACTGTGTAAGCCTTACATTCTTATACATAGGGAATACTCTATATGTTTAATGAATGAAGGAAAAAAGACAGAGAGGAAGGAATAGTGTGTAGATGGAGTAGAGGAAAAGTTATTGGAATTAAAGAGAGGACAGAATTTTGAGAATAGAGTTCAAGGATGCCTCTGAAATTTCTAGTTTCTAGTATATGTTAAACTCTGACCTAAAGAAAAAATTGGTTATAAACAAATTTTAAAAATTGAATTGCAAGACAATAATTAGTGATCCAACTTAGAGCTATCACTGACAATTTAATGAGATAGATTAAGAAATATAAACATCAGCTGTTTTTTACCCTAAAAATAGTGGAATACTTCATCATACGGGCTGTTTTAAGCATCTATTTCTAACTCTTAAATCTATATTAAATTGATATTATTTTTGAAGAATTACATTTTTATAATACATGTTATAGTTTCTATAAATATAGGTTTATGGGAAATACTGAAAAGCAAAGAGAAAATATTCTAACACAATTTATGGTTAACTTTATGATATATGTTTTTTCATAATTTTTATTATATATTTCAATGAGTATATTTGTGAATATTTAACATAAAATTGAGTCATGTTATAATTTTGTTAAAAGTTTTTTTTGCCTTTTAATATTATGATTATTTCTTCATTATATTTTAACTTTTTATAAAGATGATTTTAATATAGAAAAAGTAAAGCAGAATAGTACAATAAACACCCCAAATTCTCTATAGATTTAATAATTACTAAAATTTTGCCATATTTGCTTCTTCTATATACAGGGCATTTAAAAGTTTTAATGGAATTTTAAGGTTTAAAGCTTCAAAAGTTGAACTACTTACTTATAAAAGAGCAGCATTTGAAATTTAATTCTTTACATTTTTGTACTTATTTAAGGATTTTAATGAATAATTTTTATAAGTTTTTGTTTTATTCTCTGAAAATTGCAAATATTGACTAGAACAGAATAAATTTAAAATTTATTATTGAAAAATTCACAAAAGAAATGTAAAACAAATATAAAGTTTCAAATGATTTTTTTTAGTTTGCAGTAGTTAAATGATTGAAATTATTAAAACTTAAAACTGTTCAAAAACATTTTATATACCCTTATATATTCATTATTTTTTACTAAATCATTTTAAAGTATATTACAGACATCATATTTTACCCCTAAAATCTTCTGCATGTATTTTTCAAATATAATGATATTTTTCTTCATCACCACAGAACCATGTAACAAAATTAACAGCAGTTCCCTAATATCATCTATCTTTTTAACTGTTTTTTTGGGGGGGGGGGGCACCACAATCCACTCAAGAATCATGAATTATATTTGGTTGTTAGATATCTTAAATCTCTTTTAAACAAGCACTGCCTCCACTTTTTTTTTTTTTTCATGGCATGTGCTTTGTGAAGAAATCATGCTAGATAACTTATACATTGTCCCAAATTCTGGATTTGTATGATTGTTTCTTTGTGGTATTATTTAACTTGTTCCTCTATCTCTGTATTTCTTGAAAAATGGATATTAGGTCTAAAAACTTTGTTTGATTCAGGTTGAACTTTTTTTGCAAGAATGCTTTGTAAGCAATGCTGAATACTTTTTTAACAGGATTTTTAATAGTTATAGAGTCATTGTATGACCATGTTATTATATTTAAACAATTATTTATTGTTGGACATAAACATGTTTGAAAGAATATCTAACTATAGCTTTGAAATAATATACTTTTCAATTCACTTTTTAATAAGAATGTATTTGTGATATATCTGTCTCTGCTTTCCAGCAAGATTACTAAGCAGTTGAAGTAACCAGAAGATGTCAGGGCTCTTTATAACTTAAACTGTAGCTCCAAAAATAGGGATAGACATCTTTTAAATCCCATTTTAAAAAGCTACTGTAAGATATACTGTGAATACCTTAAACATTATAACTTTAAATAAAGATACTTATTTAAATATACAGTACTTATTAAAGAACTTTTAATAAGCAACTTATACAATAAATTGGTATTTGGATTTATTTAGACTGATGATCCCCCAGAGGAACATAAACTCATTAATTTCTGGGTATTTCTAATGAACCAATTGATTGTTTCTTATTAGTACCTTGGTGTTTCCAAAAGGTGAAAATCATTGGTTCATGTAATTAAATGTTTTGTGTCATATTAGATTTCTACCAAAATCAGCTGACCTCTTTGGACTCTTAAGCTGTCCTTATCTTTCTTCCCTTGTCCAGGGCTTTTTTCTTTTCTTATTTTTCTTTTTCAAATTAAAGTTCAACAGTTTATGCATTGCTTACTATGTTACTCTAAAATTGAGTATTTTATCCACATGATAGATAAATTTTTCAAAATTAAATCTAAGCAGTTACATTTATTACGCTCATCAACCAAATTATACACATATTATATCAACATTAATATTGTAGTGATGAGGAAGCTCAGAAAAGCTAAATGACTGGCCCGAAGACACATAAATAGTAAGTTGTAGAGACCCAAAAAGATCTCAGGTGTGGGAAATACTGGTTAATACTGTTCTACCAAACTTGTTTTTAGTGGTAACTGCTGTACTGCAGAATTCAGTTATCATACTTTTTATCTCCTTTTCAGAGTTCACATTTGAGAATTAAAAACAAATCTTTTTTGCCATTATTTTTTAAACTTCTGAATGAATCATTAAAAAAAACAATTTGCTGATGTTCAAATATTTTAAGGCAAGTGTGACTGATACTGTGGCATTCTTACTAAATTTCTTTCATCTTAAATATCACATGTTTAATTTAAGCTGAGGGAGGCACATTAATTTTACCAGGGCAACAGATGAACTTCAAGCACCAGCATTCTTCACTTGAAGTGAGAAATTGAGTTCCCAGAGTAAATAAAAACAAGATTGAAGGTTTAAATCCTCTGCTAGGCTTTTTGAACTTATATACTCATTAAATGTTTATTGGAGTGGTGGGATTACCAAGGATTTAGGGAGCTTCATCAACTCATATATAGCTAATCACTAAGTAAAACACTACATTTGATAAAGTGTTTCTCACAATGCCACATTCAGTCCATCTTAATGAAAACTGCTTCAAACTGATTTTATTTGAGAGCACTTCTCGGTGAGAGTGCTCATAGCGCTTTCTGCCTTTTTCATGAGGAATTTACACGGGAGATAAATCAAAGCCGAGCTCCAACGTAGTAAAACAGGTATTCTGAGTTCTTGTGTTTACGTTTATTGTGACAAAGTTTGACTTTTGACAACAGGTTGTTAAGTTTTATGACCCCCTCTCCCTTTCTCTTAACTATTAGGATATTCTTTCAGTTGATGGCCATAAATATTGATCACATGCCAAATGTGGTATAGAGGTTACCTGCCCTTAAGATGCTCACAGTCTAGTGGGAAGATAAGACAATATAAACAGATCTATATTATAACATGGTATAAAAGCAAAGAGGAGAGGTACTTCATCTACCCTAGAAATTCAGGGAGATTTCTTGAGCTACTTCTGATGACTAGTACTTAGGCAGATACCAGAATTATTAAAAATAAATAAAAGAAAAACAGTCTATAGCAAAGGCAAGAAAATTAAAATGAGAGAAATACAAACCGAAAATCAAGACAGGTAGTTGGATTGCAAGGTATGAGGCTGGGAAGATCAGCAAGGGCCACGGCATGGGGGGCATTGTGATCCCCAGCATTACCTAGCATTTTAAAGATATTTGTTGCATGAGGCTGATATTTTATCTTCAGATAAGTGAACAATGGTCATCTTCCTTAATTGAGGTTGTAGAAGAGTCACCATTGGCCACATCGTCCCTGGGAGTTTCTCAAAAGAAGGTTCTTTTCCTTTTTAAAGCCTTTCCACCTCTCATTCTGCTACCCCCAAATTCGCTTCACTACAAAAAGTACCCTAGAGAAAGTCAACAGCAATAAAAATCCCAGTGCTAGGATTTATCTCTCATGTGAAGGATTGTTCCTTTTCCAGCATCCCCTTGGGAGACTGCGCTTTGATATA